TCAAATTAGAAAAATTATGATTTCATTGTAATGATAATTATGAAGTACTATAATGTCTCAGAAAGAACACACACACATATATGTAAATATATATATATATATATGTAAATATATGTATATATATTGTAAAAGCAATTAAGCAACATTTATTGGAAGTCTTAACATTTCAAACAATAAAAACTAAATGAATTTTAATTAGAGATTTTATATTGTTAGCAATATGTTGTTGGAAATGGTTGTATCAAAAAATTATAAAAAGATATGTTCAATGGTACATTGTTGTTTCAGACTCTTTTGACAATAGTCAAATGTGGAGTTGTTAAACTATGACTCATCATATCTATGGTAGAAATGTACTTTCAAATTTTGTTGTAATATGATCAGTTTTAAAGAACAGACACCAGTAATACATACATTTAGAGGTTTTAGTTGTGAGAATCTATGTGTAGAATTATGAATACATATAAAAATACCATGTGTCATCAGCTTAATTTGGCTACAACAATAATATAAAAGTATTTTAACCACATTAAAAAAGAGGTAATTGAAAACTTTCTAAGGTTTCTCCAAGAGTTATTTGGGTAAAGGGGTAAAACTATGTATTTCATGGAAGTGGAAACTCCCATCCAAACCTTTCCCTTAATAAAGAGGCCCAAGGAAGTTGTGTGATCTTATTCTCTGCCTTTCTTCTTAACTTGTAGGAATAAATACTTACTTAATTAAACCATTTTAATCAAAACTGATTGAAGGCAATCTGGGCCAGGAAAACTGCTGGTTTCTCTGCATCTTGAATCAAATTTAGTGAAATGAAAACACATTATTTTCCTGAAGTCATGCTTTTCTTGTGTTTTATTTATTACGAAAATTATGATATTTGACTGAATAAAAAATACTCTTTGAAATTTTTATTCTCAATAGTCTGTGGTAATAGAAAAAAAAGTCTCTGATGAATCCATATTAATTCCAAAAGTATCCTCCTATGCTGAGCAGAGAAAGTTCATGACCACCTGCAGACACATTCACACAACCCTTAAAATTGAGGTAGCAGTGGCAATAGTGAGCTCAACTTTGGTCATTGTAGATCTCATGAAGGATTCTGGTGTGGCCAAAGAGGGAAAAAAGAGAAAGTCTACTATTTTTAATTTGTATTTTTTAAATATATTAGTGTTTGATATTTCAAAAAAATTGTAATTTTTCTCTTGTCTCTTAAAAGAAAAAAATT